TTTATAATTTTTCGTAATAAAGGATTATGTTTTTGTAATAATTTTTGAGCTGAATGATGTAATGCATAGCAGTGGAAACAGAGCTCGCGGCTAGGGGTGAAACAAATTCGGGTTAAAACCGAACCGAACCGAAAACCGAACCGAATAAGAAATATGGTTCGGTTTTTTTTTTTGAAGTGGTTCGGTTTGGTTTTTTAAAAAAAAATATTTCGGTTTTCGGTTTGGTTTCGGTTTGAGGAAATGGAAAACCGAAAACCGAAATTTAGGCCCAGATTTACCCTAAGTATATAAGGAAAATAAAAAAAACCCTAACCCTCATTCTTTGATTCTCTCTCCTGACTTCCTCAGTTCCTCGCCTCTTACCCTACCCTCATTGCGAATTTCTCAATCTCTCACCCTCACTTTCTCAGTTTCTCAATCATCTCTTTTGTGTTTCTCAGAATTCTCACTCTCCATCGTTCACCGGCACTCGTTCAGGCGTTCACTGTGACACCGTCCACCGTCCAAAGGTATGCTTTTAAGTTTTGATTATGCTTGATGTTCATATTTTTTTAGGGTTTTAATTATGATTAGTGTTAAATGTTAATTACGAAAATCTGCAAATTACATGTACAAATTTGTTAAACATTCTGATTAGGGTTTTAATCTATGCTTGATGCTCATATTGCAATGTTGTTTCTGAATTTTCTATTCTGTTCAAATTAGTAAAACATTCTGAATTTTCTGGTATTTTGATGCTTCGGGGTTTTGGTCTATTCAAGGGTATTTTGGGTTTTGGTCTAGTAAAACATTCTGATTAGGGTTTTGGTCTAGTAAAACATTCTGAATTTTCTGGTATTTTGAAGCTCTATTCGATTGGACTCTGTTGAAGATTGTTTCAGATTATTAGTTAGTTATTAATTCAAGGGTTCGCATGATTAATAGCATTATCATTGTCTTGATAAGTGTTTATTAGATTGTTGATCTTTGTTATTATTGTTAATTTTGATTTTACTTGTTTTGGGTACAGTTAGTCAGTTAGTGCTTAATTTGATTGTTTTTGGGTGGTGGGGTGGAATCTTAGGGGGCTAATTATTATTGCTAAATTGTTATTGTCTTTGGTGCAGTTAGCCAGTTACTACTGATTTTGTTTATTAGGGGTATAATTATTATTATTGGTACTGTAAGTCTCTTTTTTTTTTTTTTATAGGACTATAAATTCATTGTAATTCTTACTAAAATAAATTAACTACAATTCAAAAATATGTAACAAAACTAACAAAACCCAATATTAACTTAATTTCATCTAACAACAATTGTTAATATAATATCATAATAAGTTTTGCACCAAGCCTCATAAACAAGAAAACAGTTTGCATGACTAATGCACAACGGCCCCAACCTATTATTCCCTTTAAAAGATCCAATATTCTTAATTTATGAGTTTGCATGTATTCTTACAGATTGTTATTCAACCACAAATTATTGAATGACAACCAACGTGGGTGGTGTTCCTGACCAGCCTCAATCCGAACGTGAGACTGACCAAGTCTCTCAAAATCAGAAAAAAGAACAGGGAGCAAAAAGGAAAAGGATGAAAGAACGCTCTGAAGTTTGGGAGCACTTTGATAAAGAAGACTTACCTTCTGGAATGCAGGCAATTTGCAAGTATTGTGGGATGAGCTACAAGTGTGGGGCAAAGAAAAACGGCACTAGTGTGTTATGGGCTCATATTTCGCGATGTCGTAAGTATCCCTTTAACACCCCTAAAGATTCAAAACAAAGTTTGCTTTCATTTAAAAGTGCTAAAGAACCAAGTGGTGGTACTAGTGGGTTGACATACCACAAATTTGATGCTGGTAGTATTAGAAAAGCTTTGTCATTTATGGTGATTGTTGATGAACTTCCATTTAAGTTTGTTGAAGGTATAGGTTTTAGACATTTTTGTGGTGTAATAGAGCCTAGATTTAATGTTCCTTCTCGAATTACAGTAGCCAAAGATTGTTTTGAAACATATTTAACTGAAAAACGAAAGCTGAAAAATGTGTTTAAAAGGTGTAATTCAAGAGTTTCTTTAACCACTGATACATGGACCTCTATACAACAAATCAATTACATGTGCTTGACTGTCCACTTTATTGATAATAATTGGAAATTACACAAAAGAATTCTGAATTTTTGTCCTATTTCTAGTCATAAGGGTGATGATATTGGCAAAGAAATTGAAAAGTGTTTGCTTGATTGGGGGCTTGAAAATGTCATGTGCATAACACTTGATAATGCTAGCTCAAATGATACTGCAATTGGGTATATGAGAAGGAAAATAAATGGGTGGAAAACTGGGGTTCTTAAGGGTCGTTTCCTTCACATGCGTTGTGTTGCACACATTGTCAATTTGGTTGTTTCTGATGGGTTGAAAACTGTTAATGAGTCGGTTCAACGTGTTAGGCATGCTGTTAGGTTTATCAAACAATCTCGTGCTAGGTTGCAAAGGTTTAAAAAATGTGTCTTAGATGAAAAAATCAACAATAATTTCCTTGATCCTGCTGGCTTCCTGTTTCAATGCACTTGACATCTTTATCTCAGCATCCATCTCGAAGTTGATCTTCTGCATTGAGTCTTTCAGCTGTGTGAGTTTATTCTCAAGCAAATTCATTCTCTCTTTGGCTAAAGCTCGCTTAATGATACTTTCTTTCAGCTTGTTTGATTCATCAGCTGTGTCAGATTCCACAGCACTGCCTAGTAGTTGGTTAATGTGAGTAAGCAAGAAATCGACTTTCATGCCTAGCATCTCGAATCCCTTCAATGTTTTCTCCCAAACCCGAAGATCTTCATGAGAAGTAGAGGCCTTCTTGCAGGATTTGATGGCATCTGCAATGTTGATAGTCTCTGCAATGATGCCTACCACCAGATTACAGTTCAGGCCCTTAAGGAAATTCTCATGCAGAAACAAACTTTGGCTGTGGCAGAGCTCGTAGTACTTCTTTCGAGTAGTGGCAGAGAATTTGGAGTCCATAATGAGGCCGTCAACAACAATGTGGAAGTCCTCAAAGCCTTCCACTCCTTCGAATTTGATGTCAGAATCTGAGAATTGAATTCCTTCAAGTACTTCAGGCCCTGACTCAATATCACTGTTGCTTTGGGACAGATAGCCTGAGGAAGTGTTGTTGTCTTCTTCTGTTTGTAAGACCTTCTCCTGGCTATTTCCCTCTATTTTGGGATAAATTAGGATATGGAGATCAGTAAATAATTCATCATGTAGCATTTATATAGAGACGCGATTACAAGAGTGAACTTTTACCTGATATCTGTTGTCCTGCTCCAGGATTCAAGGTTAGGAGCTCTAAAGATCCATCAACTTCTCCATAAGTTTGTCCTCTTACGACATAAATCTGTTGAAACATTGTGAAGTAGCAAGGATTGTAAATGGCAATGTAAAAATCCTGGACTTTGCAATGTAATTATTGTGGAACAAGACTTATTAAAATGCCTTATCAATGGTTTGAGTGAGAGAATTACATCTAGGAATGGTTTGAGTGAGAGAATTACATCTAGGAAGTCAAAAGTTGTGTAGTTGTTTAGTGACTAAAACATGGGAATTCTTTCAAATGGAGGCAATTAATCAAACCTTTCTTATGTACAACCGAACGCCACAAGTTTGCTAAGAATGGCCAGGTTTAAACCAGCCAAAGGCAAGCATTACTAAGGGCTAAAGAAAACCTTAAATCCTCATTCAGGACAATGCAATTTTTTTTATAAGTATGCATCCCTATTTGCACTCATGTCCTAACCATTTTCTGCATACATTACTAAATTTAGTAGTCATGACTCAAGTGCAAGATTCTTGCCTGAAATTTTGTTGGGGCAATCAGTCGAAAAACCAATACATCACCCTCAAGTAAGCCATGATCAATGGAAAAACCCCTCCATCCGCCACTGAGACCTACTTTTGCAGCTAAATACTTTGTGCTGGATTTCTTACCAGCTTCATCCACCAACACTACATTACTGTCACATTCAGGGAGATGCTTATCACAAAATTTCTTTGGCAGACCCTATCCATCACAAAAACAAGTAACATCAGACTTGTACAATGATTCACACAACTCCCTACTAGTGTATGCAACCTTTCATTTTTATTGAAGTAGTACAAGTTATTTGCTGGCTTACCAGCCAAAATCTCCCAGAAACATGTGATTTTAACATCAATTTGACATAGGATGTTTAGCTGACAGACTTGCTTGGATCTCTTCTGCTCGCTTCAAAGCAGACGACTTGTCACCCGTTGGTAAAGGATCACTTAAGTCACTCCTTCGACTGTCCATAAACAACATCATCAATATACATAGCTCTATAGACATAAGCTATCACATTCAAAAATACAAGCTATAAAATTAGTCCATAAACTTACAATTTTTGTGTTGTTGAAATCTTACTAGCCTTGTCATTCTTTTCGTTTGATGAATCATTGGTTTTGACCCTCTTCTTTTTAGCTCTTCAGAACCATCCAAATTACACAAATTCATCAGCAGAAAAACAATACATAATTAACAATCACCCAAATTATTATTTTGCACTTATTTGTAATACTTCATAATGTTTATCTTGCTTGTTTTACATTAAGGTCTTTACCTTTCTTTCTTTTGTGGCGGCACCCAAACCACCAGTTCTCTATTTTCCAAGGACTCATCATCATCACTAATGTCCCTTGCTCGCTTGCGGCTTTCGTGTACAAACGAGCATCAAATCACACATAGCAATAACTGCTATTAAGAAATACATCAATACCAGTTATAGTATAACAACATCAAGTACGTGTCAAAAAAAAAATTCATCAAGTAGTTACAGTGTTACAATCTCTAGGAAAGTGATAAATGAAACTGCTATTAAGAAATACATCAGCTAACCTTTCAATTTTTGTTGGAATTTTGGAAGACTTGGACATTACACTAACATTGTCTTCAAATAGTGTATGATCACTAGTGTCCATATCCTTAGATGGCTTGGTGCTTCAGCAATCATTAAGATTTATTTACACAAGACTTAGTTAGCATTGTGAAATTAAACAAGTGATATGCATATGATAACATAATAAAGTAACTTATCTATATTGCTTAATTACTTTTTCGATATGTCTAGCCGGCTTGTATAAAATAAGACAAGTCGCGCCAAATCACATAAAAGTTAAATTTGTGTGTAAATTTTTTATAAAACAAGAAAAGTCATGGTCAAATGACATAAAAAGTTACCAACTTGTATTACAAAAATGTACAATACACCCATTGTATACATAATTTATGCGTTCTCTTATGAAATTTGATAAAATTGAAAAATTTTAGGGCCTTTTATTTACCTTTGACTTTGCTTTTGATTCTCTGGAGATAATATCTGTTACCCAAAAAAAAAAAAAAAAAAAAAAAATGAGACTTTCAACCAACAATAGAATAAATGGGCCATAAACATTTAAGGGAAAGTTCAATCTTTTTGTGAGATTTAAGGTAAAGTAGATAATTATGATCATTTTTCATAACAAGAAGTCCAAATAAATAAATCAAAAGACCTCATTAATAAAACTTGAAACGAATATAAAATCTGAAATTTTCTGGAGTAATAAAGCTTCAAACTTTTCTGAGCATAAATGAAATAATAAATGAAAAAAGGTAGTAACTTACAGGTTGAATTTCAGTTTGATGATCATCTTGATTCTTGAAGCATAGACAGTCTTTTTGCAACTAAAGCAAGCTTCAAATCCTTCTTTGAAATTACTGATTTCTCCTTTTTCTACCAAAAAAATAGACAAAAACAGAGAGAAAATAAGTGTATAAAACAGAGCAACTCAATTGGGAAAAAAAAAATACCGTTTTGATATAAAATAAAAGATCAAAATCCCAGAATTCCAGAAATAATGGAGAGAAAATAACCAAATCAACACTCTTTTTTCTCTCTGCTTCTTTTACAGGAGTTTTAGGGTTGAAAAATGAAAATTGAAAGTGTAAGAACAGCAAATGAAGATGATAAACTGTAAAAGGAAAGGAGGGAGAGTGTAAGAAAGGAATTGGACCGTTTGAATTTGAAATTGGGTGGATTTTCTAGGGACTCTACTCTACTCAACCCCTACTAGGAGTAATATTATCGAAATTAGATTATGTGATTTGATAGAATAGAATGTCTGAATATTTTCTTTCTATTTTGGAGAAAAAAAACCTCCATTTTTAATTTTTTATTTTTGAATTTGTACTTTCTTTTTCGTACTCCACTCTTTTAGGTTTAAATGAATGAATAAGAGTATATTTTATAAGTGACTCACAACACCCAAATTTAATCTGGCCCAAATTTGATATGAGTTGATAATCAATGTTACTACGGAGTACGGAGTAATAGTTAAGTGGATTAATAATACTCTGTATTATGGAATTTAATTTAACACAAGTCAAAATAAGATTCAAAGTGATTTTTCACTTAAAATTAAATTTAATTATACGGAGTACGTAACACTAGGGGTGAGCATGGGACGGGTACCCGTACCGTTAGTACTAACGATTCGGGTACCCGATAACCAATATCACTAAAAGTGATATCCATAACCCGAACCGATAAGTTCGGGTACCCGAATTTTCGAAACGGTTATCGGGTACCCTATAAAGTATCCAATAGTAATAATTAAACTTAAAAAATTAGTTATTATGATATTTTTTTAACACTAATTAACAACAATACCACATGATCTTGACCAAATTATTAATAACATTACTAATTATTGATATTTATAGTGATTATGAAGTAATGTAAGAGTTTAAATATTGCAAAGATAGATTTAAGTAGGAAAAAAAAACAAAATAATTGCTTATCGGAACGAAACGGGTACCCGTTAATTTTAAAATGATACCCAAAAACCATACCCGATAACAAATTATCGGAACGGGTACCCGAACCGTTATGGTTATCGGTTCGGGTACCCTAATTTTCGGAACGGTAACAGAACGGGTTTTCGGTTTTTCGGGTAGTTTTGCTCAACCCTACATAACACTGTTCTTAAAACCAGTCCTTAGAATTTTTAAAATCAACAACAGCTCTTGCTTCTTACTACAAGCAATTAGGAAAATTTGAAAATTTTGTAGAAACAAATACGTAGTTGATTATTTAGTATGAGATGAACTTAAAAGTTTCCTAAATAAAAAAGAGCTTATAAGTTAAGTTTGGGATGACTCGTTATTTTTCTTGTCCTTGCATCAATTGACTAAAACTACGTACTGAAACCAGTCATCATAATGCTAACATCACTAAATTACATGTGTCAACTTCTTGTGAAAAATTTCTTGCATAGTAACTTTTTTTTTCCTTTCAAATTTCAAGACTAAACAAATTTTCTTAAAAAAACGTAAGAAATTATTACTCCGTATTACACAATTTCCAAGTAAAGAGTGATAACATTTAAAGAAATAACTCGTATTTTATTAACTATACAATTTCCACATAATTAACTTAGTAATAAATCATATGATAAAAAAGGTTGCTTGATCCTTAACTTAGTAATCTATCCTCTTCACCTAGATATATATTGTTGGAAATTATAGCTTGATCCTTTATTACTACTATAAGATAGATATATAATGTTCAAAAGTTTGATCTTCCAAAAAAAAATTGAATCTTATCCAATCTGAAGATTCCAAAACATGATAAGTAGTACTCTGTACTTACAACTTACCAGGATCTTATTGAGGATATATTTTAGGGAATATTAGGATATATTTACTTAGCATATTTTGTGCTAAGATATCTTTTGATATTTATCTTTTTGGTAGTTTCCTAATCCCATGTTCATAGGGTTAGCCTGTATTATATATACTTGCGTGAACATCAATGAGAATTAAGCCTTGTGTTTTGATTGAATTTAGCATGGTATAAGAGCAAGGTTATTTTTTTTTTTCACATAAACACAGTCATGGCTGGCGGTGATACACTACCACCGTCACCACCACCAAAAATTGAAACCAATTCTCCTTTTTATTTAGGAGCTCATGATAGACCGGGTGATTTTATCACGCCGATTCGATTGAAACTAGATAACTTTGATGCTTGGGCGCATGCTGTATATGTTGCTTTGGTGCGAATAGACTTGTCACAATTGTGTTGAACTGAGCTGAACTGAATTATAGTTAAGCATAATTTGTATCCCTGAACAACTGCTGCAATAAACTTCCGATAATTGACAGAAAACTTGTCACAATTTATATAATGTGCTAAAGGATATGGCGTGCCTGAAGGAGGAGTCGGAGACGGAGAGGACGAAGACGGACTATTAGCACATACGGAATAAGTCACATAATCACGAAGCTTGACTGATGGAATTTTCTCGCGAAACCCCTTTCCCAATGCCTCAATTCAGCTTAGTTAATACTTATACTTATAGTTAAGCACAATTTTTGACTGAGCTCAACTAAAGTAATATGTGAACGATAGTTATTTAGTAAGTCAGATTAACTCAAAAATCTATTTGATTTGTTTAAGAATAATACGGTTTGTTCTCTTCAGCTTTTTTTTCAGTTCAATTTAGTTTTTAATTTCCTTCTCTCATAAAATATTCAGTTCTATGAAGACCCTTTCAAGTGATATATATACTCAATGAAATATTCCTCAAATGCTCCGCAAGATATATAATGTATCTAGTAAGTTTAAAATGTGTATGCAATTCATTCAACATCTTAATATCAAGTTCCGAACTCATCAACCTTCACCTCCATCTTGGTCTCTCAACTAAGGCACATCACTCTTATTAGTCACACTTTAACTAATGATATTGTTTAGACTTATCTTCTTCAGCTTATTTTTAGTTTAGTTTAGTTCAGTTTAGTTCAGCTCTAATAAATTCAGTTCAGTTCTTGTCTTAATTTCGTTTAGCTCAGTTCAGTCAATCAAAAATTGTGCTTAACTATAAGTATAAGTATTAACTTATAAAAAGTTGATATTCGAAAATTGTGCTTAAAATGTGCTTAACTATAAGTATAAGTATTAACTTATAAAAAGATGATATTCGAAAATTGTACTTTGAGACGAATCTAGTAGTACACAAATAATATATTAAATCTTATACAAGTATATAAAGTATAAATATTAGTCACAGTAATACATATAAATAGTAAGTGTCAAAGTTAAATTTGGGCCATTAAATAAAAATGGAGGGATTCTAACTTCTAAGTAACATTCTTGCATCTGTGTGTCCTCGTAAACGGTAAACATAGTGCTTGTCGATTAATGCTCCTTCAAAAGTTGTGGTCCATGTTGCTTAATTTGGTTCACAAATCACGATTTAGAGTTAATTAAAGTAAAAAGAGATTTTGCCTCCTTTGTGATTGGATTAGTTCTAACTTGGTGCACACTTTGTTTGAATCACTTTAATCTCCAAGTTTACTAGATTAATTTGATTGCTTGAGTGCCAAACTATTAGTTTTTTTCAATTTGAAAGACGACCACAGTTAGTTTAAGCACAATAGTCCAATATGACCAATAATAAGAATCAATGAGCCTTTTGTGCATTCATCGTTTGGATTTTTTCTTCACCTGATTTAACCTAACAAGTAATTTTCTCAATTTCACTTCATACACTCAATTCAACAATATTGATTTACATCTATCTACATCTAAAGATGGCAATGGCATGGTACGGTACAGTAAGAATCAGTACAAAAAAAAAATGACCAAAGCATTACGTTATTTACATGTAATATGCTGGGCAACTGGGACATGAATCATGTCGAGTTTCATTTTATTTGATGAAGCATGACAAGGTTCAACACAACAAAACTAAAATTAGCTAATTTAATTTGTCTAGGCCACCCTTTTAACATTTTCAACACAACACATATAGTACCTTACTATACTAGTTGGCTCGGCAGTGAGCCAGGCTCACCCAACCCTAAGACATGTTAACCAAGCACGACTCACAACCATCTGACATCTTCCAGTTGCAGAAAAGGTAAATAGAAAACTTATAACATGTGATAAATTAGACCTTAAAACCCTCATACTAGTCTTTACCATCACATGCAAATCAATATAATATGAAATTAAACAATCCTAAGTAAAAGTCATCCCAAGTTAGGCTGTATCTTTCCACTATTCAAAGTCAAACCTTCAGGATTATTGGAAGCAAAGTAGTTCCTTCCTCTTCCATTATAAAATTAATCACCTCATTTTCTATATAGCTACAACATCTACTTCTCTCTATTTTCCTCTAAAAATATTCACCTTTTCTTGTTTAAAGGTCAACAACAACCCCTTTAAAATCTGAACATATTGGTGGTCGTGGTTGTGGTTGTGGTTGTGGTCGTGGTCGTGGTCGTGATCGTTGTCATTTGATAATGTATAGGTCAGCTAGTGCGACACGGGTTTCCGACGAGTTCTCAGCAAACTTGGTGCCGGCTTCTGATGCAGATGAGTTGCCGGTTTACAGAGAAGTTAGCAAGAAACAGAGTGGTTTACAGAGGAGATTTACATTTCCTGCAGAATATGTTATTCATCTGATTCCTGTTATTCTTGTTCTTTGTGGTTTTATTCTTTGGTTTAATTCTCATCATACTGAAAAAATCTGATTTTTTTTGGGGGGATTATTTCTCTTACTTGTTGAGGAATGAGCATGTACTTGGTATAATTTTATATGTTAAAAAATTATAATTATTAAAGTTTATTTGGATAGTTGTAATTGGTAGGTATATTCAATCTTTTGTTGGAGTATTTAATTTGCATTGTCAATTTTTTGACTGTCTAGTTGCATTAAAAAAAAATATGTACAATATTATATTAAACTCCATAAAAAATAAAAATTGAAAACCAAATTTTATATATTGAGGATATTTTTGAGGGAAATATATAGCGGATTAAACAAACATATATTATAACACCCTCTTTGTAGATACACTAATAAGAGTAATATCACTATAATGTGAAATCAACAATAATAATAACTCTCTATTAAATGTCAAATCGTTGTAAATAATATGTAACAGAGGTAGTAATAATGTTTCAACAAGAATTGGACTATAGGACACATTGGGCATGTGTGACAACCTTGAACTAGCCAGACATTAACAAAATAACAAGATTAACAACGCATTACGCATATGAAAATGCCCCTGTCTAGCCCATACCACTAGAATGAGCTCTACAAATACAATTGTACAAACCCGCATATAAAAGTAAAAGGTAAATAAAAAGAATTTGTCATTTGTATTGTCCTTCTAGCTTATTCGGCCCCAAAAAAATAAAATAAAAATAAAAATAGGAAAAAATCATATGATTAAAGGTCATGGAGAATAGCTATGTGCCTAAGAGATTTTCTTCTTGGGCTTAGTGGCCTTGAACCAGGCCCATCTCATAATTACCAAGTACGACCA